TCACAATATCTTCTAATTAATTAACTAATTAATATTTAATCACTGTGCATCTTTACAGAGTACATGTTTTTTTTTCCCAGCATGAATATAGTATTAATCAAGTCAAAGGCATGATTATATACACTATCATTAGCGCATAATTTTTCATTTTTGTGTATATTAAATATGTTTTTTCCTGATCTCCTCCCTCTTTCCCCCAGTACCCACTCTGTTATTCATGCCCCCACATTGTCTCTAGTATTGAGAGTTGCCCTCCCTGCTATTATCTTCCCATCTTTCAGTTTCTGCTATTGAGTGCAGACATTCAGTATATACTGAGTGGGGATATATATAATGCCTGTCTTTCATAATCTGGCTTGCTTTGCTTAGCATTAAATCTTCTGCATTTGTCCACTTTTTATGTCAGGGTCTTTTTTTTATTTTATTTTAATTTTAATGGCTGAGTAGTATTTCATAGAGTACATGTGCCACATTTTTTCAATCCACTTGTCTGTTCTTGGGCATCAGGGTTGACTCCATGTCCAAGCAATTGTAAATAATGCTGCAATAAACATGGGTGTGCAACTATTTTTCTAAATGAGGGTTTTCGTATCCTCTGGATAGATACTTAAAGGCGGAATTACTGGGCTGTATGGTAGTTCTATTTGTAGGTTTCTGAGGAAAGTTCATATCATGCTCCACAGTGGTTATAATAATTTACATTCTTACCAACAGTGTAGGAGGGTTCCCTTTCCACCACAGCCTTGCCAGTACTTATTATTTTTATAATTTGAGCCATTCTAACTGGGGTTAAGTGGCGCCTCATTGTGGTTTTGATTTGCATTTCCCTTACAATAAGAGATGTTGAGCATGTTTTCATACACTTTTTGGCTGTTCTTGTCTCCCTTGGAGAATTGTCTGTTCAGCTCATTTGTCTATCTTTAAATTGGATTGATTATTTATTTGTGGGTAAGCTGTTTGAATTCTCTGTATATTCTGGTTAACAATCCTTATCTGTGACAGTTTGCAAATATTAGGTCATCGGAAAAGTCGTGATGCATTTTTGCCTAGAAAAACAGAAAAATATGTCATGACTTTCCTGATGAAATAATAAATTCTCCTGCTCTGTGGGTTGTCTTGTCACTCTAATTGTTGTTTCTTTTGCTGCACAGAAGCTTTTTAGCCTAATGTTGTCCTACTTGTCTATTTTTGGGACTATAGCTTGTGCTTGGGAGGGGGGAGGTCTTCTTTAAGAAATCTTTGCCTACTCCAACCTCTCCAAGGGTTTCCCCTCTGTTTCCCACCAGTAGTTTTTACAGTTAGAGATTTATGTTTAGATCCTTGATCCATTTTGAGTTGATTTTTGTTAATGGTAAGACATAGGGGTTCAGTTTCATTTTTCTGTAGGTGGATGTCTACTTTTTCCAGTGCCATTTGCTGAGAAATTTTCTTTTCCCACTGGATTGTCTTATGCCCTTTGTCAAAGATAAGCTGGCTGTATGTTTTGGAGTTTATTTCTGGGTTCTCTATATTGTTCTCTACCTGACTGTTTTTATGGCAACATCATGTCTTTCTGATTATCGCAGCTTTGTAATATATTTTGAGCTCAGGAAGTGAGATGCTTCCTAATTTACTCTTTATGCACAGTATTGTTTTGGTGATATGGGGACTTTTATAATTCCAGACAAATTTTGTACCTATTTTTTTCTTCCTATTGCTGTGAGGAATATCTCTGGTAGTTTGATGGAATTGCATTGAATTTACAGATTAATTTGGGTAGGATTGACATTTTGATTATATTAATTTTTCTAGTACAAGAAAATGGGATATATTTTCCACTTTTTTGTATCATTTTTAATTTCTTTTAAAGTGTTTCATAGTTTTCCTTGTAGAGGTCTTTGACTTCTTTGGTTAGGTTTATCATTCCTAGGTTATCTTGTTTCTGTGGCTATTGTAAATGGGATTGCTTTCTTCAATTCTATTTCAGTTTGTTCGTTGAACATATATAGAAATGCTATAAATTTTTTTAAGAGAGAGATTTTTGCCATAGGGCCTATGCACTTGCCAGAGAGACAGAGAGATATGAAATAAGAAATCACTCCGTGGGGGGATGGCCACATCACAATCCCTTCTCCTCCATTCTCCTTTTAGGATTTTGGGAACGTACATACACACACACACACACACACACACACACACACACACACGTGCGCTTGTCATGAGTTTCAAGCCTTTGAGTCCAGGACTCAAATCATAGTTGACTATGTGGGAGTCCAGTGATATAACCCTTACACCATCTGCTGGTCCCAAAATATTATAGATTTTTTTATGTTGATTTTATATCCTCCCATTTTACTGTACTTATTTATCACTTCCAGGAGTCCTGTGGATTCTTTGGGATTTTCTATGCATATAATCATATCATCTACAAACATAGATAATTTCACTTCTTTTTCTTTTTGAATGCCTTTTATTTTATTCTCTTGTCTGACTGCATTGGCTAGGACTTCCAGTACTATGTTGAAAAGCAGTGGAGTTAACTGGGCAACCTTGCTGGGGTTAAGGATTTCAAATGTTGTAGTCTCGGGTTTCTGGCTTCTCTGGAGCAGTGTATTTCTGCTATACTATGGAGTCAGCCCCTGTCTTTTTTTTTTTTTTTTCCTTCAAAGGTTATTGCCTTAGGGCATGAACACTCACTGGAGAGAGACAGAAAGAGTAAAAGAGAAAGAATGACAAGTCACCCTCCAAGGGGGATGGCTATGGTGCAATCCCTTCTCCATTCTCCTCCAGGGATCTTGGACACGTATGCACACATGCCTACCCAGTGAAATTCAAGCCACTAGGTCTGAGACTCAAACCACGGTCTGTCATGTGGGAAACCAATGATGTTACCACTATGGCATCTGCTGGCCCCTGGCCCATCTTTTCAATAGTCAGTTTGATGTCACTGAAATTAAATTAATATTACATATAAACTGAGGGCAGCCTAATAGCATGGTAGTTAAGTGCTGTGCACAGAAAGCCAAATCCCACATGGTTGATTGTAGTTAGAAGCCTGGCTTAGGCTTTAAAAAACATGCTGGCATATGTGCATGCATACTCAAAATCCTACATGGAGGAGATCAGGGACAAAAAGATTATGACATGACCACATCCTCTTGGGGGTTACTTTCTCTTTCTGTGGTGAGCACAAATGCCCACTATCAATAAAAATAAATAAATAAATACAAGGACTGATTTCTACTTTCCTATTTCATGTTTACTGTACTTTATTTTTATTCCTTTTTCCTTTCCTGTTTTGTGTTAAACTCAATAGTGTTCTGTTGGTTTGAAATATATGAATTCTGGGACCAGCAGTTGGTGTAATGGCTATGTAGCTGGACTCCCATGTAGTCAATCATGGTTCGAGTGCCGGACCTGGTGGCTGAAACTCACGCCGGGTGCATATGCGTGCGTGCCCAAGATCCCGAGAGAAGAATGGAGGAAAAGGGATTGCAGCGTGGCCATCCCCCCTGTGGGGTAATTTCTTGCTTTCTGTCTCTCTGTCTTTCTGGAGAGTGCACGTGCCCTATAGCACAAAAATAAATAAATAAATAAATAAAATAAAAGTTAAAGAAATAAATGAATTCTACTTATTTATTCACTTATTCACTCATTTATTTATTTCACGAGTGAGAGAGAGAGACAGAGACCTTCAACAGGGTCTCATGTCATGACCCCAACCCCAGCCCTTTAATCAGCCAGAATCAAAGGCATTGATGGACCTGGTACTCATAAGTCAACCTAGGAACTGAGCCACCCAAGCACAAACAAAACAAAACAAAGTATTCTTTAGGCAATATCTTCGTAAGAGTGTTTTTGTAATTTTATCCACTCTGCAAGATAAAAAGTGTTGTGTGTGTTACACCTTCTAAAAGTGAAGTCCTCTTATACCCTATTTTCCATAATAGATGTAATCTTTTCCATAAAGATATAATCTTCCCCGTAAAGATATAATCTCCCTGTTTCACATAACTTTGATGGAAATGACTACAAGGTGAGCAGTGTAACTTAATTCTTAGAAGTCAAGATCTACTAAAAAAAAGTTTTAAAAGTTGTTTGGGTTTTTGTACCTCATTCCATTTTTTAAAAAAGTATTTCACATACTATCTTACATGACAGAAAGCCGATATAAGGTTCCATAATTATTTTAATTATAAATTTCCACCAACTCTTGCCAGTCATATTCTGGCTATGACAGATAGATTATATACTAGTATTATTTATATTTATCTGCATGACGGGGGAAGGAGGAGAAGAAATGTATAGGCTGTATGAGAATGATACCTAAAAGCTCACATTTACAGTATAATATCCTGGCCTGTCTGCTAAAGCCTACACACTTTTATTACCAACCAGTTGCATGACCTTGAGCAAATCACTTCTGTTTCCTTATTTTTAAATTATCTATTACCTGAGTTCTCTTCCTAACAGAGTATATTGGTAGCATGCAAAAAATATTCTGAAAAAAAATCCTGTACTTGTTAAGAAATATTATGGCAAAGTGCTTTTTATTTATTACTGGCTTCCCTATTTTTTTAGAATAACAGCATTCATATTTCAGTAAAAGTCAAAATTTGTTTGCAAAGCAATTCTATTAAAAAGGACCTTAGAGGGACCAGTAGTTAGCATAATGGCTATGTCGCTGGACTCCCATGTAGTCAACCATGGTTCGCGTCCCGGACCCAGTGGCTTAAAACTCACACCAGGCGCGTGTGTGTGCGTGCCCAAGATCTCGAGAGGAGAATGGAGGAGACGGGATTGCAGCATGGCCATCCCCCCTGGGGGGTCATTTCTCGCTTTCTGTCTCGCTGTCTCTCTCTGTCTGTCTGGCGAGCACACGCGCTCTATAGCAAAAACCTCTCCAAAAAAAAAAAAAAAGGACCTTTGAGTCTTGGTGACAATCGACTATGATTCTGAAACTAGTGTCACAACAATTGGCAATGGGATGTGAGATAAAGACAAATAACAGTCTTTATCAATTATTAATCTGTAATTAGCAATTAATTAAATGAAATGTCAAATGATTTTGACACATAAAAACAGAGGATAAAAAACTCACCATGGCTTAAGTGATTTAAAATACAAGTGGGGGGACTAGCAGGTGATGCGGTGGTTAGGGCACTGGACACTCCCACATGGCCGACCACGGTTCAAGCCCCAGACCAGGCAGCTTGATTTCTGACTTTCTTTCTCTGTGTCTCTTTCTGGTCAAATTAAAAAAATAAATGAATGAATAAATAAAATTAAATAAATAATTCTTTTTAAAAAATACGAGTGGGAAACGGTGAGTTGGGAACCAACTATGAACTAAATTAAATTTTACTGATGTTGAAAATATTAAAAGTTAACTATTAAAAATAAAGTGAAAATAAAAATAAAATTTTCCATGAGTTCCTAAAATTTAAAATTCTGAAAACTGCTTCTTTGGCAAAACATTCAGCATAGACTACATTACTCCCAAATCTATGATATAGCCACAGGTTAAAGTCTGTCAATGAAAATCTTTAGAAAGAGTACCATTGCTTTTCCATTTCAAAACAACTAACTCTAGACCCTCAGAATTTGGAAGACAATCAGATTACATGTATAATGATAAAAAAAAGGGAAGACTGTAGTATGCAGACTAGAACTACATAATTATAAATATCTGGCAAACTGATCTCATTTGCATATTTCTATGATATAGCTAACGTGATTACAAGTTTTTTGGAACCATGAAGAGCAAGTAAAATAATCTACAAATACAGCTTTTTGAGTTATCAAGTACCAGGATATTAACAAGGCCATTCTGTACTATTACTCCAATGTAGAAGGACTAAATTTTTAGCCTTTGGGTACTCTGCCTTTCATGGAACCATTTAAGGAATGGTTAGATATATATAAAAACATTATGTTCTAGAAACATTCTTGGTTTATCAAGTGAAACAATAAATATTACGAACAACGGAAATGTGGAAATAAGGTTGGTGAGAGCTGCCAACTATTTGGGTACCAATTAGAAAGTATCTTCATCTGACTCATCACTCTTGGGTTTGGTAAGTCTTTCCAGTTCCTCTCCATCCTAAAAGGAAACATATGAAATCAGTAGTTAAAACAAAACTAGCAAGGTAGCATTTTTAATATACTAGGATGTCTTATTAAATATATAAATCAGGGTCTTATTCATTAAATAATGAGTATTATTTAAAATGTAAATATAATCTAGTAGAATTAAATAAGATCTTAGGAAGTTACTTTTAGAAGCACAATGAGATGACTACGAAGTGAAATGCACCCAATCCTGGGGAGTTCAAACAACGTGAGCAAAGGAAGGAGCACCATCTGCTGGTCTTGAGGGGGAAATAATTAAAGGTTGGAGAAATGGATTTAAATTAGGACTTGTAACTTCAGTTTTCTTCTACTTAAAAATTAGGCCAAAAAGCACTATAAGGCACTGCTAATGAAAATGAGATTTCTGAATGTACATGCTGGCTGAGGTCAGGGCATCCAACCTAAGCTTCTGATTTTTTCATCTTCAGAATGTGTAGTTTTTGGGGCCGGCAGGTGGCATGGGCAGTAGGCTCCCACATGGCCTACCACGGTTTGAGTCCTGGACCTGGAAGCTTGCTTTCTCACTTTCCTTTTCTCTCTCTCTCTGTCTCTCTGTTTCTGGCCAACTTAAAAAAAATAACAAATTAAATGAATAAATCTTAAAAAAAATTCTGCTTGCTGTATTACCACTTTAGAGGCATTATACTAAGCTTTACCATGAACTCTAATATGCGAGATTTTTCCAAAGGGTAAAATGTTGATTGCACAAAATATTTCATACTTTGTATGTTTGTGAAAATTGTAAATTATAAAATGAAGGGTCTATTTTATGTTTTATTTAAACATATTTAACTCCCTAATTAAACTTCCAAAATATTATTAGTTTGCTAACAACATGACTGAGAGACACTTTGAAAACAATTATTAGCAACTGGAAAATACTAAAAATAACTGCAGAAGCATTTTTCTAGGAAATATTTTTCTCCTACTAACAAAGATACTTTGAAAAACTGCCTTCTTACTGAAATAAACCCTCCCCTTGTGGTACTCTGTGGTTTATGAATAACTATAAGGAAGATTAAGCAAACAGGTTTTCTATTTAACAAGATGTATTGTAATAACATAAAAAAATCAACTTCTATTATAAATGAGGCTTATCTTCTCAACTATAGTGGAAAAGAGCAAGGAACTTGACCCAAGATCTCATGGGTCCAGTATCAGTTCTTTCACTTATTGCCTGTAAACTATTTAGCCATTTCTTCACTTGAAAACTAGAGACTGGACATGATAACTGGTGAAGCATCTTTGGGGTCTGTGACTCTGTAGTATTCTATAATTATAGCATAAAGTCCTTGAGAATACTTTTTATTTTTTTCTGTACCCTGACAGGACTTATCACTAGTCCTTATAAACATCAAAGGTCAAAAGAATGTTTGCTGACTGCTTTTTAAAAGTCACAGGATCCAACACATTCTTTGATAAACCAGTATTGATTATTTCTCCCCTTAGATATCAATGTTTTGAATTAGGGGAGAACATGCAAGAAGCAGCATTTGTATACACTTACCCCACTGGAACGCTCCCAAAGACTACCACTTAGATCTCGGATCCTTTCTTGCCTTGGTGCGTATTCCAGACCTTGAGGCTTGCTGGCGTTATAAATAAATATGGAGAGAAGAACTGATGGAGCTTCCAAGAAAAACTCCAGGGAGGGTCTGAAGTCAAAGACCAAGACAGACACTGCTGTGATGATGACAGTGGTGACCTGGGCCATTAAGACATGGAACATGTTATCTAGGAATTTCAGAATGAAAGCCACTGAAAGGCCTTGGCATGCAGTTACAAAAATGAGGGCAACTGAAAATGCATTGTGGCCATAAAAAAATCCACAGTTCTTAATCTGATCACGGTTACTCCTCTGAAGACCCAGGGTCAGTCCATTAAAAAGAATACCAAAGAAATAGAGTTTGCTGTTCTGTATGAAGATGCTTTCAGTGTGTTGGTTCCCTTCCTTCAGTATCTTTTCATTATAGATATTGGCCATTGAAGAAATAAAGCACTGGACTATAATAAGAATATGGCCCAAGCCAAGACGGATGTGACTGAAAACCCTAGCTGTGGCGTTCCACTTAGTTTCAGGAAAAGTCCATGTCTCTGTTGTGCAATTGTCTTTTCTGGAACATTCACTTCTGAAAAGAAGGCAGGAATTGGATGGGCTGAAGAAGGCATCATGATGAAATCCATGTCCTGCCAGGTTATGTTGTGACGTTTTAGTTCCAGCAGTCAGGGCCACAATAGACAAAAAGAGAATCAGAAGGGAAGCCCACTGTATCCAGTTTAGATGCCGCCTGTACAAAGATGAAAAACAAAGTTTTACTGCTGCTGTTTCCCCTTTATCAATGATTTCTAGTGAAAGTTCAGATATTTAATTACTTGTTTGAATAAACTGCATCCAGGTTTTCCTAGCATCCCCCACAATTTGGGTTCAGAAGAAACCTACTTGAATTTGACATTTTTGTTCACTTTCATTACTGTCCTGAGGCCATGCAGTCATTTCTCTTCTTTGTAGGTTTTTTTAATTAATATTTTATTCATGATACAGTGCACATACATGGAGAGACCATCCTCGATAAGATCTTGTTAAGCTGTGTTCCACTTTTCCCAGCTCTCCAGGTCGTCAGGATCCTAGACATGTGTGCACACACCCAGGTGTTTTCGGGCCCACCAGAGACAATCAGGGTATGGCCATGGCTTCCAGGACTGCAGTTCAGTTTACTACGGAGAGTGCCTGTAGGTTTACTTTCAACCTGCAGATTTAACAGAGCCTCCTTTCCATCCCCAGAGCTAATCTTGAACTTTCGGCACACTAATTTTTTTATTGCTTTAAAATTATAGCAGGGATCCTCAAACTGGTTTCCAAGAACTAGAAAGAATGTATTACTGGATGAGCTTTATTAACTCTTTCATACAGATGAATTTCCCTGTATTCAGGAAATTCTTCAAAACTGTCAAATCTTGGGAAGTATTCACATCCCAAAAAGGATTTAAGGGGTAAGCCAGCTCCTAGACCAAGGGTCCAATCATAAAACGTAAGATAAAAAACTTCTGGGTGATAATATAGGGAAAAAAAGGCATTTCTGAGTAGTATAGTTAACCTTTGAACAATGTGGAGGTTAGGGGTCCCTACCCCTCACAGAGTTGAAAATCTCTATATAACTGACTCTCCCAAACATAACTATTTTTAAATTTACATTTAATCACTGTACACCTTTACAGCATACAATCTGATTTTTTGAAGTGTACTCTATTGCAAATTGACCACTGTTGATAGGAAGCCTAATCAATAACAAAAACAGTTGATCAACATGCATTTTTGAGTTATATACTGTATTCTTACAATAAAGCTAGAAAAAAGCAAATATTAAAAAAGTTATAAGGAGGAAATACATTTAGAGTATTTACTGTATTTCATATTGTAAGTTTATGTCATCTGCTTATAAGATAAACCATCTGTTAGTACCTTGGTCAATATGGTTTTATATAATGCAAAACACATAGATATTATATGCATTACTAATACTAGATACAAAAAATGTGAAAAAGAAACTCACATTTATTTACAGGTATAATAACTCACAGACTGATAATGAAGCAGCAGCAATACAATTACTTTATGGTAGCCTAGTGTAAAAGATATGAGTGCCTCCCCAGAGCGTAGGCTATACACTTACGAATAAATTCTGACAACAGTTTTACTATTCAAGGTTTACATTGCACTAAATGCAATGAAAAATATGAGAACCATTACTTTTTACTATGATACCCAATTTACTGGAGAGAAGAATTGTGCGTGCGGAGAGATTAGGATCAGAGTATTTTAAGCAGATTCTGCTAACATTTGAGCTTACCACAAAAGCATCAGGAAGTGGTTATGAAATGATCACAGTATTACAGTATGTGCTAGTTAATTTTATGTAGCTATGCTTGAATGCTGCAATGTTGCACCTTTACTTTTATTTACTTTTCTCAGCTCTGAAGTATTCAAATTGTTGCAAATCTCCAAAAATTTCCGATGTTTATTAGAATCTTTGTGTATAAGAGGAACTGCACAGTTCTGTTTACAAACTCCTAACAATGCCTATGTACCTACTTTGCCTAGCAATGAACTTGTGAGATACTGAGAATCTGTATTATTATTATTATTCCATTTTGGTGATTCATTCAGTTCAAGAGACATTTGATAAGCAGCTAGTCTGTGCTAGGCAACCTGCAGAAACAAAGAAGACCCTATCTCTATCCTCAAGGAATTTACACTTTAATAATGAGAGAGCCATGAAACGAAATTAGGCAAATAATATGTTTGACAAGTGACACGCAGAACAGTTGGGGTATGGAGGTAGTTATTGCTTGAAATAGGAAGGACACTTCAGAGATGAAAATAAATTAGTTTGCTGTGTGAAAGGGAGTGATATATTCAAGGCTGAGAGAAAAGTCTACGCAAAGGCAGTAAGAATGACAGTGTAGACAAAGACCGGAAGAATATGACTCAGGCTGGGCTAGTAACGAAGGCATCCAAAGTTGGGGAGGACACAGCTGGTGAGGGCCTTCCTACTGGGGGGTTCCAAGGCAGCGTAGGACATTGCATGGTGAGAAGGCGAGAACAGAACAGAGCATATACATACATATCCTGTCTCTGTCTCATTCCTTCTCTTTACAAATCCATCAGGCTTCAATCCTAGAGCCCCCATCCCGATGACCTTAACCCTAATGGTTTCAACTCTTAATCCTCTAGTCAGATTAATGTCCTCTTAATACCGTCACAATACAAATTCTGACATATGAACTTTTAGGGCACATTAAAACCGGAGCCGCTTCTTTCCTTAAACCTCATGAACAAATCTCTGCTAGCATCAAATTTTTCTTCTGCAGTTTCACTTCTCTTGTTCTTCATGAAATGGAAGAGTTAGGGCTCTACTCTAGATTAGGTTTTGGCGTAAGGAGCTATTAAGACAAACTTTCTCTGTATCAGCAATTAAGGCTGCCCCACTGTCTTATCGCTTGTGTGTTCACTGGAGTAGCACTTTGAGTTTCCTTCATGGGCTTTTCTGTAGCATTCACAACCTGGCTGTTTGGTACAAGGCCTAGCTTAATCATTCCCAGCTTTTGATTTAAAGTGAGAAACATGTGGCTTTTCCTTTCATTTGAGAGGCCATTGTAAAGTTATTACTTAGCCCAATTTCAATATTGTTTTGTCTCAGGAAATAAGGAAGCCTGAGTAGAGGAAGAGACAAGGGAATGGCCATTTAGTGAAGCAGTCAGAACACACATTTGTCGACTAAGTTGTTCATGGGTGTGGCTCATGGCACTCTAAAACAATAACGATAGTAACATCAAAGATCACTGATCACCATAGAGACATTATGACATTATGAGACTTGCTGTAATGAAGGATTGCTACCACCTTTAATATATTAAAAAAACTCACTTATCTGGGAAGCAATATAAATGAAGTATAACCCATATGTAAATGTGTGCATATACCTATATCTCTATATCTAGTAAATTATGCCCTTATTATGAGTTTCCCTTATAACTGAACAATTAGGTTCAAACTGTGCCAGTTAAGAGTACTTTTTCTGGGACCAGCAGGTGGGGTAGTGGTTAAGGCACTGGACTTCCACACAGCTGACTATGGTTTGAGTCCCGGACACAGTGGCTTGACATTCACACTGTGTATGTGCATGCATGCCCAAAATCTCAAGAGAATGTAGACTGGCATGGCCATTCCCCCTGGGGTATGATTTCTCACTTTCTCTGTGTCTCCAGCAAGTGTATATGCCCTATAGCAAAAATCTCAAAGTACTTCCTTCATACTTCTACCACATTGAGTGGTAATACATCCAGGCAGAGAATGAAAACAATTAAGTGGAAAGACTTAAATAATAGTTTTCTCAAAAAAGTGTAATGACACATTTTTCAGCAGCACAGAGAGAGCATGACCGGGGCAGATTTATAATGAGAAATCATGAAGACAACTTATCGTGAAAATGAGTGATTTTGGAGAAGATACTTTACTACTGAGTGGCACTTTTCTTTATCTTTCTACTGGTTCTGACAGCAGTTAAAACATCACCATAACACCCACACACTATATATGCTTCAGAATGTGTGTGTGTGTGTGTGTGTGTGTGTGTGTGTGTGTGTGTATTTTAAGAGAAGTTTTTACTACAGAGAGTGTCTGCTTGACGGAGAGGCAGAGATAGAGAGGCAGAAAGCGAGAAATCACCCCCTGTGGGATGGCCATGCTGTAATCCCTTCTCCTCCAGATTCCTCTTGGGATTTTGGGTGCGCATGCAAAAGTGCCCGGTTTGAGTTTTAAACCATCAGGTCTAGGACTTGAACTGCAGTTGACTATGTGGGAGTCCAACAACCATTACACCGTCTGCTGGCCCCCAAAAGGTGTTTTTTAATGATTTCCCCCCCACAGTTCCTCTTTGAAGAAATCAGAAAAACTTGCTTACATTTTGTAGGTAAAAATAAGCACTGGTCTTGCTTATCTCTGTCCCCAATCTCAATGTTCAGGTTGATATTACGGTCCATAGCCAAAGCAAACAAGACTGTAGGACTCTGCTAATGCTTAAGAGCAAACCAGAGGCTGTGAGGCACAAAGCCTGCTATCAGTTTTTACTTTAAACCAGTGGTTATACTTCACAGAACAAATCTATGCACTCACATAGGGTTTCTTTAGAAAAGACATTGAGGCAGTTACATGGTAATATTTTTCTTTTTCCTCACTTTAAAATTCTCCAAATAATTCACACATTAATCACATACTTACTTTTCCATTTTTGTAACCTTGTGTTTTTTAACCTATATAGGAAAGGTTTTTTTTTTTTTTTTCTTTTTTTTTTTTTGGAGAGATTTTCACTGTAGGGCGCGTGCGCTCGCCAGACAGACAGAGAGAGACATAGAGACAGAAAGCGAGAAATCACCCCCCAGGGGGGATGGTCACGCCGCAATCCCTTCTCCTCCATTCTCCTCTCGGGATTTTGGGCACGCACGCACACGTGCCCGGCGTGAGTTTTAAGCCACCGGGTCCGAGACACGAACCGCGGTCGACTACATGGGAGTCCAGCGACATAGCCATTACGCTAACTGCTGGTTCCCTAGGAAAGGTATTTTTTAAAAAATTTAATATTATCATAATCTTGTTTAAATTACATTGAATCACATATATCTTTACAGTGTATTACGTTTCTTTTTCCAGAAGGAATATACCATGCATATCAGTTAAGGTGAAGACAACACTATCCACATGATCATCCAATAGCTTTGCATAATTTTTTTCCAGATTATTATTACTTTTTAAAACATTCAATCAATATATATCTTTTTCCTTGTAAAAAGAATTTACCCTCGGGACCAGTAGTTAATGTAATGGCTATGTTACTGGACTCTCATGCAGTAGACTGCGATTGGAGTCCTGGACCTGGTGGCTTAAACTCATGCCAGGCATGTGTGCTTGCATGCCCAGGATCCTGAGAGGAGAATGGAAGAGAAGGGATTGCAGTGTGGCCATCCCCCCCCGGGGGGGGGAGTGATTTCTTGCTTTCTGTCTCTCTGTCTTTCTGGTGAATGCATGTGCCCTATAGCAAAAACCTCTAAAAAAAAAAAAAAAAAAATTTTCCCAACATGAAATACTTCTCAGACTAGTCCAGCTGAGAATACTATATATGTTATTATCAACAGGTAATAAACCATTTCTGTGTCCTACTAATGTCATGCCTCTCTATTTGTTCTCTTGTTAGGAAAGGTATTTGATAGCTCTGCTAAAGTATAAGAGCTTTAATGTTCTAAATAAAAAATAGGTTATTTGTGGCAAACTAAGACTATGTGATAGAATTCTTTAGCTGCTACTCCTAGGTCAAAATTTGCAAAAAGATATCAAATGAGACACAAAGATTAAAGAGAGGAAAACAAATTAACACATCATCAACAACAGAGAGATCAAAATAGAACAAATCTGATTTTAAAATGTAATGAGAGGTATACATATATAATGGAATATTATTTAGCTTTAAAAAGGAAGGAAATTCCATCATATGTTGTGATGGATAAAATTTGAGGACAATATGCTAAGTGAAATAAGCCAGTCATAAAAAACAAATACTGAATGATTCTACTCATAAGGTATCTAAAGTACTCAAAATAGAAATAGGAAGTAGAAGAGTCATTACCAAGGGCTGGGTATGAGGAAGGGGTAAAGAGAATTGTTTATGGGGCTTATGGTTTCAAATTCGTAAGATGAAAAAATTTGACAGATCTTTTTCACAACAATGTGAATATCTGAACAATACTGAACTGTGCACTTAAAAGAGATTAAGACAGGTAATTTAAAATGTGAATATCTGAACAATACTGACCTGTACACTTAAAAGAGATTAAGATAGGTAATTTAAAATGTGAATATCTGAACAATACTGACCTGTACACTTAAAAGAGATTAAGATAGGTAATTTAAAATGTGAATATCTGAACAATACTGACCTGTACACTTAAAAGAGATTAAGATAGGTAATTTAACATTCTGTGTGTATGTGTTTAAAGAATTATTTTATTTTAACTTTATTTATTAATTTGTTTATTTCAATTTGACCAGAGAGGGACAGAGGGAGAGAGAGAGAAAGCAAGCCGTCAGGTCCAGGACTGAAACCATGGTCAGCCATGTGGGAATCCAGGCCTTTGGCCAACATGCCACCTGACGGCCCCCATTCTGTGTGTTTTTAACCACCATTAACAGTTAAAAATGTGTAATAATATTACGTAAAAGGTATTCTCATAAAAAAGTGTAAGATTTATTAGTGTAAAATTTAGTTTATTATTTAAAGATGTTTCTGGGTGATTTTTGAAAAACTCAAATTAAGATCCACTTAGAGAGCTACGAGTGGAGAGGCTCTTTTTGTGTTTCTTTCATTTTCTTCATTATAGGGCACATGCGCTTGCCAGAGACAGAGAGAGGGAAAGAAAGAAACCTCCCCACTCCAAAAGGGAGAGTTACACCACAATCGCATCTCCTCCATTTTCCTTTTGGGGTTTTGGGTACACATACACATGTCCCTGGCATGATTTTTTTTTTAAGAGGTTTTTGCTATAGGGCATGTGCGCTCGCCAGAAGACACAGACAGAGAGAAAGTGAGAAATCACCCCCCAGGGGGGATGGCCACACCACAATCCCTTATCCTCCATTATCCTTTCGGGATCTTGGGCATGCACACACACGCGCCTGGTGTGAGTTTAAGCCACCAAGTCTGGGACTTGAACCATGGTTGACTATATGGGAGTCCAGCGACATAGCCATTATGCCAACTGCTGGTCCCTCCCTGGCATGATTTTTAACCTGCCAAGTCTGGGACTTAAACCACAGTTGTCCATGTGGGAGTCTGGTGCCTTAATCACCACACCATGCCCCAGTAGAGAGGTTTCCTTGTATTTAATATAAATACTTTGGAGGAGTCAAATAGAGAGGCGTTAATAATAAAGAAAACACATGTCTAAGATCAATATTATTGTTATGAAAAAAAAAAAATTTGGGGGCCAGCAGGTGGTGTGGTGGATAAGGGCGCTGGATTCCCACCAGGCAGACCATGGTTCATGTCCTGGACCTGATGGCTTGCTTTCTCACTTTCCCTTTCTCTCTCTCTTGTCAAATAAAGAAAAAATAACAATAAGAAATGGAAATAAATAAATAAATAATTCTTTAAAGAAAATTTGAACTTCAGTTCATACCAATGTTAACTATAATTAAAATTAACAAAATATGGGACCAGCAGGTGGTGTGGTGGTTAAGGGTGCTGGACTTCCACATGGCCAACCACAGTTTGAGTCCCAGGCCTGGTGGCTTGCTTTCTTTCTCTGCCCCTCTCACTCTAGCCCTCTCTGGTCAAATTAAAATAAATAAATAAAGTTAATTCTTTTTAAAAAATTAGCAAAGTATAATAATAAAATTGGTAGTATTAAAACAAACATGCAAAATTTATAGTGTAAACAGATTTGGATTTGGCAACGTTATATTAATTAACTTTCTTAATACAAATAGTTAAATGTTTAAAAATTTAATAGGGGCATTTACTATCGTGGCAGAGCTAGAACTGCTGGCCAACTTTAAGTCAGAAAATACCTGTTTTCTACCTTCTCTATGATTAATTCGGTTTCAAGTGGTTGTAAATTTGACATAGTACTTGTATACTTTACAGTAACTTAAGTATAATACTATGTGTACTCATGAATTTTTCCTTTTTCTACAGAAAAAAAATTTTTATTATAAAAACCTACATTTGAGACTTCAATTCCCTTTTAAACTGGTGACACTTTTATGATGTGTTGGAAACAATATTTTCTTTCGTCATGAAAGCACATCTCTAATTTTATCACAGGAGGAATCAACATAAAAATATTATTCACATGTGTTTTCCTAGAAATCAGCCTTTTTTTGGAGAGGTTTTTGCCATAGGGCGTGTGCACTTGCCAGGCAGACAGAGAGAGACAGAGAGACAGAAAGCGAGAAATTACCCCCCAGGGGGGAATGGCCACGCCGCAATCCCTTCTCCTCCATTCTCCTCTCGGGATCTTGGGCACGCACACACATGCACCTGGCGTGAGTTTAAGCCACCAGGTCCGGGACACCAACCACGGTCGGCTACATGGGACTCCAGCAACATAGACATGACGCTAACTTCTGGTCCCCAGAAATCAGCTTTTTGAAGTGAGTTTTGTGTTGATTTCAAAGACTTTGAAAATGTTTTTTGGAATAGTATTCTTTAACTTGTAAAAGGCTTATTTTCATAATTCACAAATAAAATGAAGACATGCTGCATAAAGCAAATTTCAATGTACTCTATCAGTTAAACTAGATTAAATGTTTATTTTTCTAAATCTCTCACATTAGCTATCAAACCAACTGTTTCCTCAGGGTGAAAGATAATATCGCAGGAATTTTACATAATTTATATGTTAAATGAATCATGAATTGAACAAATTTTTAAGAATGCCATACCAAGATGTTCATCCTTCCACACACAAAAAATTATGAAAGGACACACTATGAAGTACTTTCAGAAACAAAAAATTTTAAAAAGAGAATGTAAACAAACAAAAAACCACAAAGTACCACAACAAATAATGATTTTATTTTTTATTATCATTATTAAATAACAAGTTAAACTGAAATTAAGTACCCAGTTCCCATATTATCCTCCTGCCTTAGGACATTCTGGTCTGCTGTGTAACAGAGTCTATTTACTTAAAAAGGTTGACACTATCAATGGTCCTCTCAGAGAGCAAAGAATGGTGGTAACATTAAAAAAAATTAAAAACCTGTCAATCTGCGACCAGATAGTGGTTAAGACGCTGGACTCCCACATCGCAGACTGCGGTTGAGTTCCGCATCTGGCGGCTTGAAACTCATGACAGGGAGGTGTGTGTGCGTGCCCAAAATCCCAGGAGGAGAATGGATGTGAAGGGATTGTAGTGTGGCCATCCCTACTGAGGAGGTGATCTATCACTTGCCCTCTCATTGTCTCTCTCTCTCCAGTGAACACACACATACTATGGCAAAAACCTTAAAAAAAACCCAAAAAACAAAAAAACAAAAAAACTATCATTCTCCTTAATTGTAATTTTGACTACATTCCTCAAACAAATTCTCAGCCAGTTAAAGCTTAAATCATGTATTCATCTCAAGAAGTTTAACAAAGAATTTGCCACTTTTTATCATCTCGAAATTCCAGATTACAAACGTGTTAATAATCTTAGAAACCTCTTGGTTCTCTATTAGTGTAAAACTTCTTTGTTGAAAATCTGGCCCTAAAATCTTAAATACCAATTAGAACCTGGTCAATTTTCTTATTTTTGAGATGCTTAAGACACGTCATACATCTGATCACAGAGGATTTTGTCAGGCTAGCACTGGAGCTGCTTTCCACATGGGGTAAACAACATACCCAATACACACAGCCAAGTTGGAACAAAATCCTGGCCTTGGGATTCTGAGGGCTCAGGGCTCTGAGTCTATCATCTGAAAGTGGCCTGAGCTGTTTAAAGTATGATACGTGCTTTCCCAGCAAGTTACTTACTTCAGCACTATCCTGAATAGAAGAGCTGTTGTTATAATGCTAAAATTTGAGAAGATAACAGCCATGGCCTAGAAAGAAAGAAAAGATAGAGTTACAATCCAAGCAAAGTACTGACCTCAGAAATCTCCCAACTTAGTGGTTCACCTGATAGAAAAGCAGCTTTTTGGTCAAATACCAGAGGGTTCATTAGGGCAGTTATTTCACTAGAGGATTAAATGCTATTTTTATTACTTGTTAAATTTCTATAACTATGATTAAATTAATTATTATCCAGGTTTTGAAAATACATATTTAACATTCAACAAATGCCCATGTAAATATTTTTTTATGTGCAGAGTTGGAAATACTTACGAATCCTAAAAATTTAGGTCTAGAAAAAAGTTCCCACATGTATGAAGCATACTTTTCAAAACTCTCAAGGTGCTTCAAAGATTTAAAAAAAATTTTTTTTAACCACTTATGACATTTTATTAGCATATGACAATTTACAAGGTCCCTGTTTCATTATACAGCACACTGAGTAAGAATTGTTTAGCCATCTACATTCATACTTATTGGGTAGTATTTTTTTCTCAAACTGTAATTCCTACTGATTTTAACTGTGACAAAGAGAACAGTAACAATTAAAGTAGACTGCAATTAGAAAAACATACCTTGCTTTTAAAATTCCTAGAACATTGAAAGGTATACACAACACCTATAATACCTAAGAGCTAGAATTATTATTAAATTTTAATAATTATTTATTTAATTTTATTTATTCACTCATTTATTTTAATTTGACCAGAGGGAGACACAGAGGAGGAAAGAGATAGAGGGAAAATGAGAAAGGAAGCCACCAAGTTCAGGACTCCAGCCATGGTCGGCCATGTGGGAGTGTCCAGCACCTTAACCACCACGCCACCTTCTGGTCCCGAGCTAGAATTATTTTTTATTTAACTTTATTTACTTACTATTTTTTTATTTGACCAGAGAAGGACAGAGAGAGAGTGAGAGAGAGGGAAAGTGAGAAAGCAAGTCGTCAGGTCCAGGACTTGAACTGCAGTTCACCACGTGGGAGTCCACACTACCTGCCGGCCCCGCTTTACAGACTTTTAGTGGTGTTTTGGTGGGTGCACGGAGGGCAGGTACTGTTAGGCCCACTTACATGGTAAAGAAATTGGCAGACAGATTTTTAAGCATTTTTATGGCTCTTATTAGATAATACAAATACCAGTGGATAATATTAATAATTTTTAAACTCTAACCTATGATTTAGTTTACCTGCTACCATCCTTGCTATCACTTTAAGTAGGTTAACTTCTAAAGTCTTATAAAGTCATACTTCTAAACAGTCTTACATAGCCACTATTAACAGCAAACATGGCCAATATGCAACTAAATTAAAAAAATAAGAGTAAATCCAATGAAAACAAGTAACAAGTAAATCTAATAAAAACTAGTAACAATTCTAACAACATTGTTGCTTTTCTATTAAATTTTTATGGGAACTACTATTTTAAGGTTTTCTCAGTGTACTTCTCTGTAGAAAAGTGCTTATGAGCCCTCAGTCATGAGGAGAGGAAGGGGAGGTGAGGAAAGTAGCTGGGAGAGTGGAGAAATGGTGGCACGGATCAAGCATACCGAGGCAATACAAATATACCTATCTAAGCAGCCAGTTATCTTGATGAATACTATAAACTATTTCATGCAGCAATACAGAATAAATAGAACCTTAGAGCTCTTTGCCCTATCCGCCCCATCAGACGCAGGCACAGCAATACAGTTTGCCATGTGATTCGTTTTGTAATATCCATGGTTGTACACAATCAGGAAGGAAGAACAAGGCAATATGCTGGCAGAAGAATAAGGTGCAATCTCGCATTGGTAATGGGGACAGAGGAAAGGGACTTAAATTTAGAGCTAATCTGTTGGATTGAAAAAATGCAATAATAAATATTTATTGACTGACTTTGACTAATTATTGGGTACAAGAATTTGCAGATCTGGGAACCAGCAGTTGGCGTAATGGCTATGTCGCTGGACTCCCACGTAGTCGACCATGGTTCGCGTCCCCGACCCGGTGGCTTAAAACTCACGCCGGGTGCGTGTGTGTGCGTGCCCAAGATCCTGAGAGGAGAATGGAGGAGAAGGGATTGCGGCGTGACCATCCCCTCTGGGGGGTGATTTCTCGCTTTCTGTCTCTATGTCTCTCTCTGTCTATAGCGAAAACCTCTCCAAAACAAAAAAAAGAAGAAAAAAAAAAGAATTTGCAGATCTGAAAAGTGAAGGGAAACAAAACTTAGTGAAAGGACACAGTCTAGTTGGACTGAGCACTTTATCAATAATAAGATCATAGATTGAAAGGAACTTCATGGGATCAATTGGCCTAAGACCATGCCTAGCAAAAGAAGAAAATCATTATAAATAGCACACATGTAAACTACATTAAAATAGGTGTTAAGAAAGAGAGGTACACTGTATAACTTCTAGGTTAATCATAGAAGTCTCTTGAGAAGTCCTAAATGTTGCAATTACTATTAGACAGTAGTGGCTATAAAATGGCTTAGAAAACAGGGAGACTGAAATGATATGTTTTAAGAGGGATGGCTTCAGATTCCTTGACCAGGGAGCAACTCTCCCATAGCATTCAATACTGTTTAATACAGTAATAGTCAACAATGAGAGTCTGGCAAGCAGATTCTCTGACAATTCTGTATTCAGATGATTTGGGGAAAATTTCTGAAAGGCCAGGAATGATAACAAGAAACTAACTATGCTAAGAAAAATGATTTTAAAAGTTCTGGGATTCATTTCTCTGTATTTTTTCAATGATATGTTCTGGCTCGTCATTTACTTACAGGCTGAAGATAGGATAGGACATAGAAGACAATCAAGTTATCCAGGAAATAAAGAAAGGCAGGAATGGACCACTTCATGAAATTAGAAAATTCCTTCCAGGAAGCACATCTCAAGGTTCCACTTTGATGATCTTTTAAAGAAAAAAATACAGCAATAAATGAACTTGATGAGAATGCCCATATTTTTAAAGAAATTACATAGCATTTGATTATTGATACAATTCTTTACGAGGGCTTTATAAACTTGCCTCTATAAGTGTCTATTTACCTAAAGAAATCAAAGATAACATGGAATTGTGTTACTGTTTCTCTTTAAACCATCACTGTATCACATTGGTGACAATCAGCAATACTGTAAGATACTGAAATAATTCTTGTTAACTTGAGCTAGAAGTGTTGCAGAAAACCAGATGCAGAGAAATGGAAAGCAGCATTCAGAGAGATTAGGAGAACTGTTTATTACACCAGTGGGCACAGAGGAGTTAACACTCAACATCTCCAGCCCGACTGCTGCTGCTGGGATGGACACAGTCTTTTCTGGGGAAACTGGGGAAGGGAAGGTCTGGGGGTGGGGACTGGGCTAAGATGCAGCGTCAAAGGGAGGAATCAGAGAAGTGGAAAGATTAATCCATTCAAGATACTAATCCATTCTAGGTTTCCAGGTTATTTTGTAGCTCAGGGAGGGGCAGTAAATTTGCTGGAGGGCAGAAACCTTAGACATCTATCAACCCTGAGTTATTGATGGATTCAGGGTCTCCACATATCAGGAGGAGTGGAGTTTAAAGACAATAGGAGTGTTAATCACTCTGTTTACTCTTAGGCAAAGGAGAAGAGGCAAGCTTCTAGTCATAGGAATTTAACAGTTTATATTGGAGGTGCTCCTTCAAGATGGAGTCATGCCTGCTTCAGAATTATCACTGAAGGCAACTCAGGACACACGTGTGGCTTCTCTTACTAGACTGCAAGCATAAGGCAAGAGGGAGATCAACATATTAGAGTAGTCAGAAAAAAATGATCAAACTTTCATGTTGGGATTTTTGCACACTAAGGACAGATTTGGAAAAGGAGATACACAGTGGAAATTTATGTAACTAGACAAAATAACTTTTAGCTATTATCATCTCATCTCCAGATTTTCAAAAACTTAGGTAGGTACTATAAAAGAGGGAATGTAAATTGAAAAGATAGAAAACAAGGCAGTTAAAACTGAAGCCTGCCAATAATGCATGAGTTTCATTAGAAGAAGAAATGTATTCCACTAACTAAAAACTCTGGGCAGACACAAAACCTTGAATATAAAAAGACATCTTTGAGGCCCGCAATTCAATAATCTAAATTCTGCATTTACTTCATGTGGTAAGGCAAATCAAAGTGGTTAAGAGAGCTAAAGTTCAATAATGAGGAAGCTGGGACCAGCAGTTAGCGTAATGGCTAGTCCTGGACTCCCATGTACTTGACTGTGGTTTGAATCTCGGACCCAGTGGCTTAAATTCACACCGGGTGCGTGTGCATGCATGCCCAGGATCCTGAGGAAAATGGAGGAGAAAGGACTGTGGTGTGGCCATCTCTCCTGGGGGGGTGATTTCTCGCTTTCTGTCTCTGACTTTCTGGAGAGCACGCATGCCCTATAGCAAAAACCTCTTCAAAAAATAAAATAAAATAAAATAAAATAAATTTAAAAAAGAAAATAATGGAGAAGCTATGTGGTAAATTAATAAATTAATATACATTAAGAGTCTAGGAACCAGTGGATGGCATAATGGCTGACCACAGTTTGTGTCCTGGACCCAGCGACCTAAAACTCCTGCCAGGCACGTGTGTGTGTGCGCGTGCCCAAGATCCCAAGAGGAGAATGGAGGAGAAGGGACTGTGGTGTGGCCATCCTCCTGGGGGGTGATTTCTTACTTCCGTCTCTCTGGCAAATACGAGGGCCCTATAGCAAAAATCTCTCTCAAAAACAAGTCTATACATTTTGCAAAAGGCTAGACAGTTTACATTTGATAATTTGGAAACCTAGAACTCATAATCAAAATAACTGATCCCCCAAACTTAGTCTCTTTGCACACTATGCTGCCTTCTCTGTAGGAAATGGGTAACGCTTTCCCAGTATGTTACAGATGAAGTCAAGACAGCACAGTGACTTAGAAAATCCAAAGTCTGAAAAAAAAACCTTACACGCTGCATGAAATGAGCATAGGACAGGTCGTGAGGTAGGGTCACAGACAGGACACTAGGAGATATGGAGTGGTGGTCATGGTCTGCCGTTTCCTACCCAGCTTGGTATGATACTTCCTCTTTGGGCCTATTTCTTCATCTATAAAACACACTTAATGCTTTTGTCTTAGCTTACTCATTTATACAATTAATGGACTAAATGATATAAAATGTTCTGTCCAATTCTCACATTTTTTGAGTCAATGAGCTTAGCAAGTATATAGTATCATTTCTCAAGACTCACCTTTCTTTATAACACAGAATGACACAAGCACACAGAAAACTAGCTTCACCAGTTCTGAGCACACATTCACAGTAGTAGGAAGATAGTCATACTTGTTCTCTGAAATGTAACAGAAGTGTTTAACTATACATTTTATTTTACATACATTTAGCAATTTATCGTTTTTAAACTTAGAAGCCGGAATATTCCTTCTAGTTGGCTCTGCTCTTCTGAATTAATTCACCTCATGCTATCCCTACCCCATTCAGCTTTTTATTATCCCGAAATCTGATAACGTGCCTCTCATGTTTTCATCTAAGTGGTTAATAAACATGTTGAGAAGGTTCGGGTCATGCACCAAAAAAGTTCTGTGCCACGGTATTAGAGACTGCTTTCTAAAATGACCATTAATCAACACTGTGGGTCTAACCTATGGAAGTTATGAAATTACTCGTTGAATTACTACCCAGTTCATGGTTCTTCTTGCGAGATATCTGCCAGTGTACACTCTGTCTATGACATTTCCTTAACTCAGATATCCAATTTGTTTCATGTCAGAGTATACACAGAAAGCATTACTATCTGTTCAGTATGCTGAAATAAATGGTACAGTGGGGTAAGAGAAGGAAGATACCGGAGGAAAGAGACAATTGGCCCAGGGCTGAGCAGAAATACTCTGACACATCCAAGCTCTCTGATAATTTGGAAAACTCATCGTAATTCACAAGTCAATAGAATTAAGAAATGAGGTTTGGTTAGCATGCCTTGTTCTTAACTGTTATCTTTGTCTTTTCTAAATGCTTATAAATTTATTTATTTATTATATTTTATTTTAATTTATTCTATACATTCAATCACTATATATCATTTAGCTTGTAAAGTGAATTTTCCATTATGAATATACTTCACACCAGTCTAGTCGGAGATACTATACATGTTATCATTAACAGTTAATAATCCATTTCCATGCCCCATAAATGTCTATTTTTCTCCTTAATGTCTTTCCTCAGACTCTCGTCCTCCTTCCACTCTCTTCCCACACTGCATCCAGTATCCACAGTTGTGCTACCAAGGAAAAACATAAATTTTATCAGGTACTATTTTCAGGAATACATTTACCCCTCTTTGAAAACATTTGCTTGTTTTTCCTGGTCATACTAAAAACTAGGGCCAGGGAGTGGAGCAGTGGTAACATGACTGGACCCACAGTCCAGTGAACCCAGGACCTCCTGAGCATGCAGGCTGTGTGCACACAGGCCTGTGATCCAAGCCAACTGAGATTGAAGGTGGACTGCAGAATGACCACCCCGTTGAGACTACTTGTCTGTCTGTCTGTCTGTCTCTCAGGGGAGAAATAAACAAACTTTAAGTGCCCCATCCTGTAGGGATGCATTTGGAGAGAGGCCCTGAGGGTGTGGGGATGTGCTCTGAGCAACCAGCACATGTCCCTTCAGGCTACAGCAGAACCTTGCAGCTTGACCCTCACTGCAGGCAGAGAAAAGGATGGAAATTGCTAGGGGCTTTCAACAGACACATCTGATGGAATTCAGGAAACATCTTGACCCTAATTAGCAAAGTCCAATACCTGCTCTGCCTCTGTAAGATTCCTTAGCCTGCTCTGGGCATGGTAGTGTCCTATCTATGGTGAGATCTTTAGCCTTAAGTTTCTTCCTCACACCTGCAGCTAGACTTCTCTCCATTAGAAAAGATTAACGGGATTTCTCCTTAATGGGATTATCGTCAAGGGATACACCTTGCCTACTATGTCTAAGCCCTTATAGATTTGTTACCTGCTTCTTATTGTCTGTAACACATCAACAGATCTATGGAATGTCATGAAATACACATATGTAATGTCGCTTTGCCCTATAAATAAAGGCGCCCAGTTTGTCTGGGCGGCATAAGCTGCTTGGGCTACCTAGGCTCAGGCTGCCTGTGTCCACTGCTACTCTGTCTCTCTGACTCTCTCCTTCTGTTTCCTCTTAGATTGAGCCAAGTCTGGGCGGACGCCAACACTACTCCTCTGTCCCATCACAAAAAACTGGCCAAATATAAAAGAGAAAGCCAATGAACGTACTCTCTCCTGAAACCATGTTTTCCTCTTTTCTGTGACTTTCCTTGACTTTCTCACCCTAGCCAGAATCGATTTTTGTATTCATTTTTATTCTTGTAGCATTACCTATAAACTTCTACAACAGTACTTATCACACTGTATTACAGTATGTGTGTGTGTGTGTGTCTGTCTTACATACATACACACCCTTACGAGAAGAGGACCTTGTTAGCCACCTTCATATATCTGCAAATGTCTCACAATTAGAAAGCACTTAATAAATATTCTCCTGAATTTACATATCTGCCCAGTCAACTTTCCCCATCCTTCTGACTTCTTATTGTCTGTAACACATCAACAGATCTATGGAATGTCATGAAATACACATATGTAATGTCGCTTTGCCCTATAAATAAAGGCGCCCAGTTTGTCTGGGCGGCATAAGCTGCTTGGGCTACCTAGGCTCAGGCTGCCTGTGTCCACTGCTACTCTGTCTCTCTGACTCTCTCCTTCTGTTTCCTCTTAGATTGAGCCAAGTCTGGGCGGACGCCAACACTACTCCTCTGTCCCATCACAAAAAACTGGCCAAATATAAAAGAGAAAGCCAATGAACGTACTCTCTCCTGAAACCATGTTTTCCTCTTTTCTGTGACTTTCCTTGACTTTCTCACCCTAGCCAGAATCGATTTTTGTATTCATTTTTATTCTTGTAGCATTACCTATAAACTTCTACAACAGTACTTATCACACTGTATTACAGTATGTGTGTGTGTGTGTGTCTGTCTTACATACATACACACCCTTACGAGAAGAGGACCTTGTTAGCCACCTTCATATATCTGCAAATGTCTCACAATTAGAAAGCACTTAATAAATATTCTCCTGAATTTACATATCTGCCCAGTCAACTTTCCCCATCCTTCTGAGTCTAGTTAAAACATCACCTCCTTTTTCTGAGCTCAAGGCTTAGACCTGAATAACACTGTGTTATCCTCTAATACTGTGCGATAATTTCTATCTTAATACACATGAGTGAACACATATACCTAAAATGAGGGGCTTTGGAATGACAACTTTCAAATCTCTGTCACTGTTCTCTAACTAGCTCTTGCTTTTCATGTTTTTTCTTGTATTCCTCTTATGGTTGGTCTCAAACCATGCAACAGCATGACATGTGATCTTCGTCCACTCCTATCATGTCCAAACTTACATAGCTTATTGACATTGCATCCATCATGATAGGTCTCCTTCAGGTCCAGAGAAAAGAGGCCATGGCCCTGCTATTCACCCCTTCTGCCCGTTAAAACATTCCCTTCTCCTCAGATGCTGAGCACCAGTAAGTACTTTCCTTTGGTTAGTATGTTTCTTCTCATGCTCCACTTACTGGCCATGAACACACTCAAAACTTCCCTATCTGAAAAGCAAAATACTACCCTCTGACATTTTTTCTCTTTCTAAGATGGTATCAACATCCATTATCTTCACTTCATCCACTTTCCATTCAGGTCTTATCCCTAAGCAATCTGTTTTCTAATTCTACCACTATATTAAAAACTGTGCTCTGAAATTACTAAACACTTTCTAATTACTAACTCCAAAGAGCTCGATTTAATCCTTATTTTATCAAGATATTGCAGTTCCTACTCAGATACAAAACTCTTTCCTTCTTTCCTATGAGTTATGTACATGTAATTCTCTTATCTAATAATGTATTCTTAATGTTCTTCTGAGTATCAGCATGCCACTTAGAAGCTGGCATTCCTCGTAGTTCATTCCTTACTTTTCTCATTCTGCATGAGCCCTATGCTTCTAGGATTTTAAATATCAATTTAATAATTTAATATTAATGTCTATAAGTCTATATTCTAGACTATTTATTATCTCCTGAATATATCCATATGAGCAATTACCCCCTATTTATTCATGTAGCTAGCATTTCCTTCACATGCAGAATGTGCCAGACACTATAGGAAACTGCAGTGGATGAGGACACAGCTCTTGGCCTTGTGGAACACACAGAGCTAAACCTGTAATCTCTCCAAGCTCTGTTCAACCTGCTCTTCCTCCTAAGAGTCCGCATCTCAGCTGAGAAAATGATCAGTCTACTCAATACTTAAACCAGAAACCTTTGAGCTATCCAGTAATTTTATCTATTATTAATCTCCATATTCATTTTCCAGAGCTTGTCTTGTCTATGTTCTGAATATTTCTTGAGTCTATCCTCTCTACTTGTACTTCTAAAGACCTAAGTTAGTCTTCACTGTGTCTTGAATTTGCGACAATTCTCTAACTGGCTGCCCTGCTTCTAGTCTTTTCTCCTAGTGTCCAGCCTTCATAATGGTTTCTCATTTTATCTTCCTTTAAGTATTCCTCATCCCCCAAATTCTAGGGTCTCAAGATTAAAGCCCCTGGTCCTTAGGATGGCATATGAAATCCTTAACAATTTGATCATTACTTCCCATTCTGGACAAACATTCCTTTTTCCTCTCTTTCAATTCCTTAAATTTTTTGCTCAGTAATTCTAAATTACACAGTCTCATAACCAACCTGTTTTGTGATGCCTCTGTTCCTTTCTATAGGCTACTGCTTCTATTTTGAATATCCTTACCAATACTGTCTTCTTATGGGTCAACTGTCACCTCATCAGAGAAGTGTGCTGCAGCATACTCTCCTGAACAGAATATCTTTGTCTCTTTTAGACTGTCTCTGCATCTTTGGCAAATTCCTACTTCTGCATTTATTATAAAGCATTTTCACAACATGTGTACATGTAAGTCTCTCCTAACAAACTGAGTTTCTGAGGACAAGGTCTATGCCTTACTCATTTTGAATTCTGCTTCTAATACTAAGCCTGGTGCCTAAAAAAAATCTATGTTAACTGAAGTAGAGACTTACATACACAACTGACCACTAAGTAGATTCCTAAAAGTCATGATGTCATCATTTTGTGCGTCCTCAATAATTAGTGAGTAGTACTCATTAATTTTTATGGACTTAATTAAAAGTGTCTGCTGATATCCTTAAAAAAAATGATTGAGTATGTACTTACCAAAGTTTATAATCTACATTACCCCACTGATACAATAATAAGGTAGTACTAAATGCCAAGTGATCAAACAAATATATCCTCCTGCCTATTTCAAAATAAACTGTAATTATATGTCTTGCTTTCAGTTAGGAAACATCTGTTATTTGAAGCAATGGTCAGAATTTAGAATCTATTCTGCATCAAAGGGTTTGATTCTGTACTTGACTGTATCAAATTTCATCCTGGATCAAGTTTTTTCTTGCTGAGAAATGAAACATGAAAGCATCAAATTTAAACATACTTTATCATTCACATGAGGCATAGTACTTGATAAGGTATTCTCATTCCATTTTATACACCAAGAAACCAAAGATGGGAGAAATACTCTGGGATTAGACTGAAGTGCTCTACACATATTCCAAGTCTTAACTTACCTTCATTGGCAGAATATTTTACCAGTAAGATACGACTTGAGCTTAAAGCAACGAATAGGGCACCTAGCAGGAACGTATACATTGTTGAGAAGGAGCATAACACAGGCCGAATATACCACTTCTTTTCCATTCCAGTCCTTTTTTTTTAAATTGCCTTAAAGAGAAGGATATTTTATGAGCAACTACTGTCAGATCTAAAGACTAAACACATGCAAATGCAATGACTGAAAAACAGAAAAGGAATTTTTTAATGACTACATCAGAACCATGAAAGTTGAGCAGGACTGGAGAAATTATGAGGAAAAAACATGAAAAAATAAAAATTTGATAGGAGGGGGTACTCTATAAACAGAAATGGTTAGGATGAGAAATGCTGACAAAAGCAGCCAGCGAGTGAAAAGTGACACCTTGGGACGACAGGAAAAAAATTCCTGCAGAAAAATAATCTTTTAGCATTCCTTTCACTACCAACACTGCTGTACAAGAAAAGGAAATCGGTATTGTGTTTTTCTCATCAGTAGCAGCTACTAATATGTAGGAGGAAGGAAAAGATCTTGCTGGGAAGATTTCATTACAATAACAACCAAAACGGAAAGCTCTGAAACATTCCTGTTAACTTTTGCTGAATCAGTGTTGGGAATACAAGAAATCTTAGAAACCAATCATTCTAAGGCTCTGTTTTGACAGGGCGAGGACACCAACTCCCAGGCCGGGGAAGTTACTTGTCCAACGCCTCCTGGTGTGCCACGGGGTGGTTCAGAGTCGGCGGAGGACTGAGAAACGCCAGAACTGACAGCCCAACCCGGCGCCGGCCAGCGGGAGACCAATGAGACGCCCCGGCTACCAGGCCAGGTTTCCCTCCACCCTCAGGGCAACCCTTCTCCTCACGCATGCGCAGAACC